TTACCTTATGCTTTTTAGCATGAATTACTATATATCTTTGTTCATTTTTCTTTTCTTACAAATAATACATAAATCTTCTGATTACTTGATTATTGTGGTGATCCTTAGTGACCTTTTACATTTAGTAGTAGTTCGTACATATGCTTGTCAATTACCACATTGTAACACTTGTCCCACATGTGTATTTCACTACTATTAATACTTTTGCCTAGCCATATTTAGAAATCAAACAATTTATTAAATATTTTAAATGATCCTCTCGTTTGGTCAACATATTTCTGTAACTATTAAACCACTAACCGTTTGATAATTGCAACGTAACTTCTTCGATTAAATAAATATTATTGTTTTTTTTTATTGTATTTTTACCCGTATTGCCAAGAAATCTTTATCTGACTTGTTTGACTTGTTTCTTGCTGTCTCATTTATTGCCTGGAACAAGTTGCAAGTACAACTTCTCTACATTGGTTTTTTTTTTTTGCCTTTTTTTTTTTTTTTTTTTATCTTTTTCTTCCTGCGTTTCTGTTAGACGTTCCAGTAACTGATCCACATTTACTTGTATTCCATTCTTCAAGAATTCAAGACAAGGAGGACACTTTTGACCAATTTCTTCTAAGCATTCTACGTGATACTTATGACCACAGGCTAATATTTTTAAATTAGGGGATAATAAGTTAGTATATACATGAATATCAGCTTTAGTACATAACGAATAATCACACAAAACAGATTGATTAGGTTTTCGTGAAGTGCTAAAACCTAGAGGAAGGTGTTGAGTATTTGCAACAATGCCAATAGCTGGCATTGAAATATTAGTATCATTCACAAGTTTTCTTTTCTTTTTTCCCTCTAATATTATTGCGGGCTTATTCGAATTTAGGCCCATTACGCCGTCTGTAGTAATTCGATTATAAATATTAATAAAACATTCTAATAAAAAACATGCTGCTTTTTGTGTGCAGCTACTCAAATCTCTGTAGCTTAAAGGATATCTTTTCCAAGTCGATTGGTGATCAAATAATTCATTAAGACGCTTTTCATGTCTTAAAAAATTAATAAAATGTGCTTGATTTCGTAAGAGTTCTGCAGTATCATGCTTCTGGGTAGTTCGTCTCAAAATGCTGTGAAATAATTCAACGGGAGCGTCGGAAAATTTTGGCAAGCGCGTTTTTAAAATTTCTAAAATGGGATGATTAATACTTCTCCAATATAAAATATCTGACAAGAACATTAGTGGTGCTTTATTGTAATTATGACGTGCAAACCGTAAAAAAAGTACCCATACCCGTATTACAGATTCCTCATATTCTTGCCACTCACCTGCACGAAAAAAAATCGCATATATATCAAGAACAAGTGGAATCAAATTATCTAATAAGTCTTTTAATGTTAGATATTCAAGATCCTCACAGAAACCAAACTTTTTTTTAATAGTATTTGAAACCCGAAGCCAACCACGACGAGTCACCTCAAGAAGCAAATTAATTCGCCAAGGTTGAATATTAATTCCAAGCCCTTTCGTTTGATCAAATAAATAATTGTGTAGCGAAGAAAAAAACGGATGGTACTGTATATAAATGAGCTCGCGACTGTTCAGAGATATATGCAATGGTCCGATTATTGGAATAAATGATAATACGTCTTGAGGAATATTAG